CCCTCCTCTTCTTCCATCCACAACCCCAGCGCGCAAACAACACACGTCGCGGAAGTCGGTGGGCTGGCATGCGTAACACGTGGCCGAGCCATCGGAGCCTGATGCGTGAAATAACGGTGCTGAGCGGTTCATTTCCTTTTCCTGTGCCATAAACAAGGCGGTTGTCTGGTACAGTTGTCTTTGTATCGTTGTCTGGTTGTATGAAACTGAAGGAAGAAAATCGCACGTTTGAAATAGATTTAGTTTCCCAACGCTTGTGCGCATACCACGTGTTTTGTTGTTACCTTGTCTGTGCAGTTATGGAGATTGGCAGGTTGGCCGACTCTGGAACACGCAACATGCAATTGTCCATGTGAGAAGCAGTTGGTGCTTAGATTAAAATGCCCACACTTCAAGAGACTGCCCCTAAGTTTTGTGATTGCAAACGACAAACGAATAGGGAATTGCAGTCTCTTAAATTGAAATGGTGTATCAGCAGGAATCATCGGAATACGAGGAATGAAGACATATTCATCTTTGATATTTCCGGTCCAGATGGTTGCCTGTTCGACGTGGCTGAGTGATCCTTTTACTGAAATCCTCGTGCCGTTAAAAAAGGTTTGGTTGGTTGACGTTTCGCAACATGAAAACTGGCATGCCGATTTTCGTTTCAAGTACGTGCGGTAGCATCCCTTGCAACTCAAGTGAGTTCAAAAATTCTGTTGGATAACGAACCACCTCATCTTCTTCCAGCACAGTGTCGAGGGCCTTATTTGCGACTACCTCGCTTGCAATGTTATACTGAAGAATAATGTTCTATTCGTCGACGTGCTTGTTCTTGGCAGCAAGAATAACCCCTTCACTCAGCTAATCGTGATTCAGATAATTGGTTTGAATAGTAGGAAAAACTATTTAAACTAGTTCTTCTTTTGACGTCACAAAAAGCTATGAGACAGTGGAATACTTCCTGAAGTCAACCAAACGGGCAACTCCTCGTTCGCATTATCCAGTAATTGTAGTGAGGATACCTTAGCTGAGTGATCGTATTGATGCTGGACACGCATATTTGCGGTTGATTTATACGTCTTAACATAACGTCATAAAGAATAGTATTTCAGACAAGCATTTATTTCGTCCGCTTGTGTAGGTCGAGGAATTACAGCCAACGTTTGCCTGAAATCTCCCGTAAAAGTAATAACGCAGTACCAAATGGTCTGATGTTTCCTCGCAAATTTTACAGTGATCGACGAATGCCTCCAGCGATGTTTTGTGCGTTATTTTGCATTTATCCCAAACAATAAGTTTACACTTCTGCAATACTTTTCTCATGCTGAGCGGTTTAAATGTTGCATGTGAGAGTTTCAATGACTTGCATGTTTAATGACGATTTCAAAGCGGAATGAGCATTTCTTTCATGGGGTAGCGATGTCACGTCTATTCCGGAGGACGAGAGAGCTAGGCCTATGCTATTTTGCGATCTAATTGCCGCAAGAACCAGTCTAAGAAGGAACATTTTAGCAGTTCCTGCTGGTGCATCTAAGAAGGAAATTGCTCCAACCCGTCAATTTCATTTTGCATTACTTGATCGTAAATGCTTTTTGCTCAAATGTTGACCTAGGAATTTTGGATTGCGCAGACGATGAAAGATCGCCAGTGTTGTAATTTAGTTCACGACGCAATTCGAAATCCAACGAAATAGCAGCAGATCAAATAGGTGATGACATTCCCAATAGATTTGAATCTTTGTTCTCGCTTTCTAAACACAAACTTATAACCATTATCAACGCTTCGATGTATATTGCTGCTGAAAATTCCACATTCCTATCGACCATTGTTGGAGCATAGAAACGTGACTGCGCTAAAAAAGCGTTTCGACGCAAAAGCTATAAACACACATATTTGCCGGATTAATGCCTGTTATTCATCTCGTTTTTTGCTTATGTCATGCCAAATTGAAATGTTTGCATCCATCTATATATGGGAGCTACATCGGGTCATACGCCATCACTGTGAACACTTTCGTCTGCTGAGAAAATAGTAAGTCAGATTTCTTAAAATCTGTAGCTTACAGCGAAATACTAATGTCAGCTTTGAATTCAGAACATTCAACTTATATAATCAGTTGGCAGCCCTTTTGCGCAACGTGATGAATAGAAAAGTAGCTAAAAGTTGCAAAATGTGAAATCCTTGGTTGGTTTTCAAAAAATAGCTGTAGCTTGCACAGAAAAACTAATATCAGATTTGAATTCAGCATGCTCAAATTATATGAGAAGCACTGTTCGTTGCCATGCATCGAACTTGTTGTTTCTCTGTTATTTAAAACTTTTCCCCAACCATTTTGCTGTAAACAAGCAGTCTGTCATCTTTTAACCTCTTTCCACTTACGTGTTGATGCGACCTTTCCGATAATCCCTGTCACGTGTCCTGGTTGGCTAGGAAACCATTTGTCACAAGTGATGTGAGAACATGAGGAACACTACGACAGGCTGTTTTATTGTAATCCCAACGTTAGCAACCAAAACGCGGTTTCTCATCGATTCCACGAAAGCTTTCTTAACATTCCAAATGTACAAGCAATTTCCGTGGGCTGCAAGTCCCTCCCATCAAGAGATGCCCTATCACTCAATTTCAACCATTGTGTTCCCTGCATGTTATTTAATTCATACTATATGTTCTTCTCCACATCCTCAGATATTCTGACCGGGTGCATCACGTGAGGAACGACATAACACACATCGTGCTGCTCACACGACATACGGATGGAGGAGGGAGAATCAGAGACTAGTCTATCGGAAAACGAGGCGGATGGGTCATTGATAGCATTTTAAGGGCTTTCCGCCAATGTAACAGAATCGTTCTTTAATCCGGATCTTATTCCATCGAGCTCATATGATTTTCACTAGAAGCAGAGATAGGTTTGCTGTTCGAAGTGTTGCAGTCCAAAGGTTATCCTATTAAATTGATTAAACACTTCACTGCCACGGTAGGATAATAGCAAATGAAACCAACTCCAAAGAAGAAGGAGTTCACTAAGCTGCCACCTAAAGATCACCACATCATAAAAGTCGGTTCGAAACGAAAGGAGGCGTCAGTGAAAATGCACACAACGCAGCTGAACTGCGACAACTCCTACCGACGAGATCACTACGTCTTCAGTGAAAACACCGACGCTGGATCAATGGATGCAACGTTGCTCTTATAGAGTCACTTCACCGGGTGTGGAAGCAGTTACACTGGTCACACCACTCAAAGACTGGATGCTCTAAGAGACAAACACATCCCAAAGTAGTTGCGCGAACAAACGGCGTACTTCAGGGCTGAGGCTGGCGGATCACTAAGCACGGCTACCTCAGTTGTCACGAAGAATTTAACTTACGCCGCTCAAGCCAGACCCCTCTTTTACCATCGTCATGTGCAGTCAAAACATGACGTTATAAGGCTTCTGAAGCTAATGCTATTCGTCTCGAGTCCCTACTGCTGTGCATGCAAAAGCAGTTGACGGTAAAATTGAAGCTACGTTGTTGGTGCGACACATGTCAAAAAGCTATTACCTCGCTGACAACCGATCTCATATGGCTTTCTCCAGCTTAAGCTAAGCCTTGGTTGTGTGTAGGTGCTTGATGATAATGCATGTAATGACGATACCATCTCCAAATAGATGTCCTCTGGGTTACTGGTTTGGATAACTATAATATGTAGTTCTTAGTCACATTTCCAGGCACAAATTACCCACAGTAGTGCTACCGGTATGACAGTTTTCTTCATATGTATATACATGAGATAATGACACATAGATAAAATGATGGGTAAACCACTTGGTTGTTTGCTTACCTTCCTGATTACTTGCCTATTTGAAAGAATGCCAAATGCAGCTAGATAGATAGATGGATAGATTTCCCGGCTAAAATGAGCCCCGTACATACAGATGCGTGATTCAATAATAAAACAGCCATTGGTGAAACCAGGTGCTTTGCGTTTTTGTGTGTCAACATTTATTGCAAAAGTTCCCACTAGTTCATGAATGAAGAAGATTCAACTACGCAGTGTTGAGAATTGTTAGCACTGAGCTAATTATTGATGGCTGTGGCGATCCGGCACTCATAAAGGACAGTGCTTTCCTCTCAACCACTGCGATCAATTGTCCGTGGCGATCGTGATTATCTGCCTGAAACCAAAGCATGACATTCTTTTAGTTGCTGTGGCGTCAGGACTTACGTGACACCTCGTAGAAAGGGCTACTGTGAAAGCTTAGAGGTTTGACACTAACTAGCTAGTTTGTGTAAACTTGCTTAATTGTTGTTCTTGCTTTCTGGTGTTCTGTGACTGCGTTCGGCGTGTGTGTTCAAATAACTTATCTATGGTAAACTCCTCCGCAAATTATACATCTGCATCTTGCAATGTTAAGGCACTGTGATTAATCAGCTGCTGTGTCTTTCACTATCGCCGCTTCTGCTCACGTTTCATAGTAATGTTGGATAAGAATAATCTAACTGAACCCACTGTGATGAATTGATGAAGACTTATAAATTCAGAGGCACTTTCTGAAATGGAGGCAGTATGGTCTGAAAGCATAATGCTATCCAAAGTTCAGCTGCGTCGAGGAATTGTGCTCACTTCACATGTTGCGTCCCTCGATTGGTACAAGTAAAAATCTCTCCCAAATTAGTACACACGATATAGCCAATTGCTCGTTACTATCCATGATGCGCCGTGTAAACACTTTTGTCTAATCAGTGGATAAAGCCTCCTGTTCGCACGTTCAAAAAATGTTATGCAGTTTCATTTTTGCTATCACACTATAACGAACAGTAAGCAGCTTATTAGGAGTATGCATCACTCGTTAACCCCAAGAGTTTATAACTAATATTGCTGTTAGTATTGATTCTATTACTGGTGGGATTATTGCCGTAGTGTGTGGCGTTTCTGCCTTATGGACTTACTCCTTGTGCTATTTATTACCACCGGGCTTTTAGTCCGGGTGAAAAAGTTTAACTACTGTTGTAAAATCTTGTTCTTTAACTCTGCCCTCTGCCACTCCCGGCCGCATCCAAGAACTCACACCGCTCTGCACACAAACGTCCTATTCACAAGTATGAGCAAACGTACAACGAGCTATGTTTCTAACAATTCACTGGCCTTCTCAATCAATCGCCTGATCGACCGCACTGAGCTCCGCTTACGTCTCTATTTCCTCTCCCTTCAAATTGGTTGCTCTTACCTATTTACTGCACTTGGGCTTGATCGTAGCTTCTTAACCTGGTGTCCACTTGTAGCCATCGCGCTTACCTTCATCTTCGACTTGGCCTGCATGACAGGTCATGTGGCGCCCGAGCGACCGGCTGTGTTCCGCTTCGGGGATCAGCTTGTAGCCATGGTGGTCGTCTCCGCTTTCGGGTCGACTTGCATTGTGCGTCATCTGCTGCTTGTATCTTATATTGTGATCCCCGTAACCTCTCAGCTTCGTCTTCCAAACAAAACGTGTCTAGTAGGATATCTCATGGTAGGGATGGCGGTTCTGAGGGACTTTGAGTCTTGCCGTGATTCGGCCTCAGCTGGTGAGTGTGCCCGAACCATTTCGTCTTTCCTACGATTAGCTAGTAGATGACCCAACCTGTCAACCTGTCGACCACCCCCTCAGTCCTCGGAAGTCTCGTGCGTACAACATGTTCCCATTTTGGAAATGACATACGCCGCCTGTCCGCCTTTTCCCCCCATAATAACTGCAATGCTTTTCCTTACTGCTTGACACAAGGCCCTTTGCTCTGGATACTGGTTTAGTCACTGACTTGAAGTTCAGGGCAGCACTTGTGAGTCTGCAGCGTTGATTCTAGGCGTCTACTCATTTGCCATTGGTTTCTACCGTCGCATCCTCAGGTCTGATGGGCATATCTGATTTTGAAGTGGCAGTGTGGTAAAAGTGTTGCTCTCCCCTGGCTTCCGAATTTGCAATCACATTTGTACTAGGATTCAAGTTGAGCTACGTATGGCATTCTGAAACAATTCCTTGCGATGTCAGCTTCAGTCCCGGTTCCCATTTGACTTGAATGTTTAATTTGTGTGATACCAGTTCGATCAAGTGCCTCTGTGACTTTTCGAACTGCGGCTGCCACTACTGCAAAAGTGCCTGCAATTGTTCGAAACTGACTGACATCTTTGGGTTCTTCTGACTCCTTTCGCCACTGTTGTAACGTTTCCACTTTACCTCTGCTCTCTGCCACCCCAAGCTGCGTCAGAGAAAGAACTCGCACCGCTCTGTACACAAACCTTCTATTCACAACTATGAGCAAAATACAACTAGCTGTGTTTTGAAAAACTCACTGCCTACTCGATCGATTGCCCGCTAGAGCGCACTGAGGCAGGCGCATCCCAAATTCAGCTCCGCTTACGTCTCAGGTAACTACCAATAATGAATTACGATGAATACGCTCTTGGTGCGGCTGCTCACGGTGCGAAAGAATAAGTCGGAAACGCTGAGATCAGACACAGAGCTCAGCTGAGTCTGGGGATGATTGATTTGGGACGTATGAATATAGTTTTGTCCTGGACAATGAAGATGTATTGTTCCAAGTCGTCATCTGACAACTTAGCTGGTGGTCCTAGCCACACCTCCCGGGTTGGTTCTTATCTTGCTTTTGTGCACGTCGTCCTGGTTCCATCGGCTGCGAGTTTCCAGCATGTGAGAGAATAGCCAGCTCACTCCTTCCATTTGGTCATTTACAAAAGGCCGTTCGCTTTTCACATGGTCTCTGCTTTACTGTGTTGACGTTTATTACCGCGTCACTTACCAACGGGTCCCGCTACAGCATAACAAGAAGATGCATTTCCATCTTCCACAGACTGACAAGGTTAAACGTGATGGAATGGGGAAGAACATGTAGTATCTGCATCTCTTAGGGGTAATTAGCACCCAATCAGGAGGCATCACGCTGTCTCGGTAGCCGCCAACATTCAATCATGCTACAGCAGGATATTACCGATGTTCTGTTCGGGGGTGAGTATAACATCCCAACAAGGGTGCGCACCATATTCAAAAAGTTCACTTTCTGTGACTATTATTGCGCGGTTCGATGAGAATGTATTTCAACGGGTCCGGATTATTGTACACAAAAAGCTTGCATGCCCCAACGACATGATCTGAGAGCTTGGCTGCCATTGACCAAAGCCATATTTGTGCTAATTACCAGGAAAATTCAGACAGCTCTCCTTCCAGTTCCCTTGAGTGGATTCTACAGAGAGTTGGGTCACTTCTAATTTTATAAGATACACATGTTCTGCTGCTTCCCTCATGCAGTCATTGAGCTAGATTCTGTAAATACATTGCGCAAACGATATTGAGACCGACAACTTTCTGTCTGCGTGCGAATCGTTCTTAGATTAGCTAAGCATCCAGTAGGAACATATAGGCTGGCTTGCTGAACAACCTCCTCGTGGTGCCAGCTGGGTGCTTCGGGATTATCCCGTTCCAGCGAATGATTCGGCGGCAGTGTTCCAGCACGTGGTGGGTTTTCGTCTGGCAAGCGTTCTCCCTATAAAAAGCCACATTTGTCCGTTTAACCACACGGTGGCGTGACGGATGTGACTGGCCACTGAATAAAGTCTCTGTCCCTTGCTTTTCTCTGTGTGGCATTGTAATTCAAGGGTGTGTTGGTCCTCTCATCCTATGCGGTCCTAAAGGCGTAAAAACCACTTGTTTGGTCACCAGCTCCCAACGGATTGCGATACCTTCATATCGCCTTGCTACCTTGCAGGTTATATCCTTGATCAAAGACTCGGAGTGAAGCCTCTAAGACAACCCAATACTTCCGAATGGGCAAGCGGGTATTATCAAGCCCACTGACGAACCATGGACTTACAACGACAACCAATCACCCGCTCTGTTGCTGCTACCATGCTATTCACCCATATTACTATACCAACCGCACAAGCACAAGCCACCATTTTACCTACTCTTCCCTTGTACCAGTCACACCCATTGTTACCTGCTTCCTATGTGGCGATCAACCTCGCCTACGCCGATGAACCTGTTCCCGTGACATCTGCCAACGCAGCCACACAGTGCTCAACAGAGAGCTGCTATTCCCAAAGTCTCCCATCTTTGCTCCTGTAACCCGGGACGCAGTTCAAACTTACAGCCTTCAACCTACGCACATTACTACAGATCGGTCAGCAAGCTGGACTTGCACGCACGCTAGAGACCCTTGGAATTGATATCTGCTGCCTGAATGGAACACGACTCCAGGACTCTAACTCGGTCTACCAGCTGGTGTCACCGCTTTACCCACGCATCCACTTCCATCTTCGCCTCTCTGGTGACGCCGAGTCTGCCGCATCTGGGCAAGCTGGTGTTGGAATCGCCCTCAGTGCTAGAGTCGAGACTGCTTTGATTGACTGGATACCCATCAATAGTCGCCTTTGTGCGATGAGGCTCCATGGCTCTTGTAAAGTTAGCAGACGTAGAGTCGAAAAGCGTGCTGTCTTCTTGATCTCTGCCTACGCGCCCACAGACTGTAGCTCGGACACCGCCAAAGACCAATTCTACCAGAACCTACATGAGCTGCTCCTAGGGGCTCCTAAAACAGACATCATTGTTTTGGCAGGTGACTTCAACGCGCGTGTCGGTCGTCTGCCACCATGGGAGCGCCACCTCGGGGGATCGCATGAATATGATGATCTTCGTCCAGACAATGGAGAAAGACTGCTCAGTCTGTGTGCTGATCCTCAACTATTCCTCTCCAGCACCAGCTTTCGTCATCCGGACACCAGCACACCACTTGGCGGCCCCTACCATCAACCTAGCGCTGGTCACAGATTGACCACAAAGCTATAAATCGCAGGTGGCGCGGCGGCGTACGCGACTGCCGATTGTTTTGGTCAACACGCGTCGACACCGATCATGCAATGGTAGGTGCGATCGTTTGCATGTTTTCCGGTGGTTCGCCTAGGTCAAAACACACACGACTGAACACCTATAACTTGAAGGACATAATGTTGAAAAAGAACTACGAACAAAGGCTTCTTGAAAATCTCGCCTCTATCACCCAGTCTGGACGTTGATCAACACTGGTCAAGTCTGCAATAAGCCATGCTGTAGGCCGGTTTGTACAGCTGTGGCCTCGCTAGCTCCACTCACAAAAGCTGAATTTCGGGTAGATCCTCGGAATTACTGGATCGCCGACGAGCGGTGCCCGCTGATGCAGAGCACAACAAACACAACCGGTCTAGTACGCTACAGCTGAAAGCATGCCTTGGCTCTGATCACGAATCTTGGTGTTCAAAACGAGCTGATGTGATGCGAGCCGCTGCATCAGCTGACAACTTCCACCGTCTATTTTGCAATTTTGCAATTTTCACGCTATCAGCCAGACGATTTGCTAATCAGACGACACGAAGATCCCCAACCTTCGCAGGCGCTTGGGTCGCTGGTCAGAGCACTTCGTTCTTTAATTCAACCAACCAACACAGCCCCAATGTATGATGTTTGGCCTGTCTCCACAGCCACCCAAATGAAGCAGAGATCCGAAATGCAATCCAATCTTTGAAGCGTCACAAGGCTCCGGGTCCCAACAGCCTACCACCGGATCTATTCAAAGATGGCTGGAGAATATTTGCCAGCAAAATCCTATCACTGTTCACGAAAGTTTGGACTGAGGAGAAGGTTCCGAACTCATGGGGAGAATCGGTCATTGTTCCGATTCACAAGAAGGGTTCTCGCGACGATTGCTGCAGCTACCAAGGAATCTGCTTAAGCTCCGTCACATCCAAAATCTTCGTGTCGGTCGTAGTTAGCAGGCTTCTAACGACTAGGGAGGTTTCCCAGAAAAGAACAAGCCGGAGTTCGCTCAGGCCGGAGCTGCATCGAACAAACCTTCACGCTTCGGAAGTTCTCTAATTTCGTCACATCCATCGGCGGCCAACAATCGTAGAGTTGTTGAACTTCCGAGAGGCATTTGATTCAGTCGATAGATCTGCGTTGTAGAACTATTTACTGAAGAAAGGTGTACCCGACAAATTTGTAACCATCCTGAACGAACGTTACAGTCACACGTCGAGCAAAGTCAGGGCTTACCGTATGCTCTTTTCTTCATGTGCTGTGACCAGCGGCGTTCTTCAAGGTTGCCCTATTTCACTTTTTCTCTTCAATTTCGACATCGATGTTGTCAAAGGGCACTGGAAGGTGTCCAGTACTGCGGTATTGAGCTCCTCCCGGAAGACAGAGTCATGGACTTTGACTACGCCGATGATATCGCCTTGCTGGGGGACGACCCACAAACCGACCAGGGCGTTTTGGACCGCTTGGCGATGGAGGCGTCTAGATAGGACTTTTGCTTCACTCCGGGAAAATGGATAACGCTACTTCAGGACTGACAGGTGCCTGAACTCGCGCTCACCATTGCTGGACATGATCTGGAGCAAGTCCCTTACTTTACTTATCTAGGGAGTTGGATCACGGCTGGTGGCGTTGTTGGAGATGAAGTCCCACAACGGATTGCAAAGGCCCGCCTTGCATTCGTTAAACTGAGACACCTATGGCGTCGTCGGGATGTCAGTCTCAAGCTCAAGGGCAGGGTGTACAATGCTTCCGTCCGTGCAGTACTCTTGTACGGCTGTGAAACTTGGCCTATTCGCTCGGAAGATATGAAGCGGCTGTCAGCCTTCGACAGTCGCTGTCTACGAAGGATTGCTCGGGTGTGGTGGCAACACCACGTAAGCAACGCAGTGGTGCGAGACCGCGGGCCCGGAGCGAGTAGTGCCAGTCTTCAGGAAGTTATTCTCCGACATTGCATGCGTTGTCTCGGACACGTTCTGCGCATGCCAGCCCATCGCCTTCCACGTCGAGCGCTATTTGCACTCCCTGGGAGCGAGTGGAATAAGTGCCGCGCTGGACGGCCAATGACGTGAAGAAGGAGCGTGAAGCAGGCAACGTCAAGTTTGGCGGCAGTCGGACCAGTCCGTCTTCCAGGTTGAGAACTACGAGATACTAGATGGCAGTGGTTGGAAACATTAGACGTCACGGCCCGCAACAGACGTCAGTGGCATCGGTGTTGTGCTGCCATTATATCCCCTTTAATATAAACCAAAACTCACAAAACAAAAACAACAAATATAAAATGGCGTGTGTAAAACCAAGAAAAGCGTTTCCCATTTTTTAAGTTCGTGTTCCATATTCTGCAAATATTCCTTGTGCCATGGTTCTGATAGCACAATGCCTGTTAACAGACTATGAATAAACAAATAAATAAACCACTATATATATATATATATAGGAACATGT